GTAGTAGCGGGCTGCCCCGCTACCGTCGTGACGTGACGGGTGTCTTGGGTGCTGCTGCGGTGGCTGTGGGGTGGTAGTAGCGGCATCCTGCAGTAAGTCTACTACTGCCTCCACGGCTAACTAGAGCTGCATCCGAGACGCCCGTGACGTCACTGCTGTAGTGGTGGCAGTCTACCACTACATCCACAGTTACTGCAGCGTAGAATCAGGTCTATGAAATAATGTTAAATGTTGGATAGTAATTTAATTCTTTATTGTTTCAAATCATTTACATTATAAGAGTACATCATCCTCAAGTAGCTGGCTCCTTTCTGCTGGTGACTTTGGGCGAATTTAAATTGCTGAAAAAGAGTGGAAAAAGTCTAAGTTAAATTCAAATTATCTCAGAGTTCAACACAAAAGTGTTTGGTCCATCTGTATAACTGTGACACCAACTCATCGAATGAACTTTCTATGTTACAGGTGGCTGTCATCAAGTCCAGGCACATCCCTTTGGACAAGAAGCAGCATCACTTCCTATTTTACTACGACTGTACCATACAAATGAAATAAATAGCAGCATTACAGTAACTGACACTCTCATATGATTTGCCTCTCTCACTTCCCTCCACTAAAATCAACACAAGACTACATATTTTAGGATCAAGTAATTAGCGGTATATGTGGAGGTAGCATGAGTCAGTAAAGATATGACAAGTATCTGCAAGTATCCCCCCAAGAAAAACACATACCAAAATAAAATTTTACCCAACATGACTCTACCATAATCTATAGAAATTTTTTTGTGAACATTACGTAAAAAGTCAAAACTTACCAGATTCATTCCTGTGATCATGAGAAAAAGGGGCCATTTCCCATGCTGTTTGCTGTGTCGTGTGTCACCAACTCAGCAACCATCGGGTGACGGCTAACGGCTGCTTAGCTGATGTAAGCGCAGATGCAACTGATGGACGGTCTTCCTGCAACAGGGTAGAAACAGAATTTTGGTCTACATATATCATGGTGACACCAACTCATCTCTGGACTCCTCACAGTTTCAGGTAGCTGCATGACATTAAGGTGCCTCGCTTCAAAAGCATTGCCTAGGACAAATGGACTAACAATGTCAACTCAACGTCAAATGTTCACGGGTGGATTATCATTAATATTCATGCACTTTTAACTCTTTTTCCATATTATTTACTTTACATTTTTATTATATATTACAGGACTAAAGAGAAAAAGAGCATTTA